GTTCTACTCAATTATTCTCTAGTATGGCAGAATTAAATATTTTATGGCTACTGGTTTTGCTACTTTTAAATTATTGTTATATTCGGAAAGAATTTTTGTATAAGTGATATAAATATACGTCTACATTCATTATTTTGTAAGAATATGTTAAGATTTATTAATGCAATTTTTTCAGAAGTTGAACACATTCTGGGTTCCTCACACTTGCATTTTTTGGTGTTTATTTAATCATAGAAGGCTTTGTTTTTTTTTATAGAGTTCTTTTTTACCAACCTACATGTCAGTTTTTATAGCAATAATATCATAATTTTATATCATTAACATAGTTTCACATTATATTGCGAAGATAATATCAATATACTTTCTCTTTGGTAAGAATATTTGATTTTTATTAATTTTAGGTTGTGTTTTTTAAATGAGTTCAATAATTTTTTATTCCTATTGTGAAAATCTCCATTTAAATATTGATTCAGTTATATTCAATCAACTGTTTACTGGCATACTTGGGAATTTTAATAATCTCAATTATGGTAATAGTGATTATGAAAGTATATTTATATTAGCTTTTCCAAATCATTAGCATCAAAAATGATTATTTGGTGTCATTATATATATATATATATATATATTTCAGCATCATTTTTATAGGTTTTTGTATATGTGACTGAAATTGGCACTGTGTCCATTAAATATCACCTGTTGTTTTATTCCAGGTGATATTTAAATCTAGAATCAGATAAAAACTAATCTGACTTTGCAGAACTAATCTAAAATCATACCTGAGAGGACCTGGAATTGAATTTAATTGAAATTTTAGCATCATTTAAAATGTTGACTTCTATATGGTATCTTAAGTGGCACTAGTTTATGTGGCTCTTCTGGAAGCCCTAGGGGTATAGTTTTGGTAGTGAAATAGCATAAGAAAAACAAGATTATGTTCAAGTATACAGAAAGATTAAGTTACTTCTGTGTATGGAAACTGTCATAACTAGCAAAACTGCGAACTGTATTAATGAAGCTTCACAAAAGACCTTCCTAAGTTTAAGTCTCTATAAGAGTTTTGTAAACTCTCTTATAAATCAAAAAGCTCCCACATGACACAATTTTTGTTTATACAGCTGTGAATTTATTCTGACTGTGGGAAATATGATAATGGAACCACTTGTGTAATGATAATGCCATTTTCATATTTTGTTCTGTATGAATTGGCTTTATGTTAATATGATAAAATGAACTAAATACAAATAAAACAACTTTTCAGTTTTATTTTATTTCAGGTTTTTCATGTGATAGATACTGCTCTCTCTGTTTCTTCATTTGGTCTCTCTATTGTTGGAATTATATTACTGTAAAACAGTACTGTAAACTTTTATTTCTGTGATTAATAAAGCTTCGCTAAATTTCAAGAAATACTATAAGAAAAGACCAAAATATGGGTGTCTTAAATAATAGCAGATATCCAAGATCTCTATTCATGTTCACAGATTTCATCTATTCAGGGCTATTACTCTTTGGTTTGCTGATGGTTATTTGTTCTTACTTTTTCATGACATTTTCTCTGTTCCTATATGCTTTCAAATCCCCCTATATTACCAATTTCTTTCTCTTATTAGGACAGCAGTCAGAATGTATTTGATACAATTTAATGACCATTTTATAAGTGATTTACAGGTTTATTGTCCTTGTCAAAAATATAGACAAATTTGGATATACCTTTTATTTCAGCTTCAACACTTAAATTGTGGGAGAAAATAGAATTAATCACAACAATAATTGCTTAGTTATAAACTGATTTATATTTTCTTACATGTTTCAAATAATTGACTAAGAAAGTCTTTATTAACAGATAGCATTTATAGAGTACTTCTACAGAACTTTAACATTTTTTTTCCAGAGATAGTTTAGCAGATTTAGTTTACTGGGCTTTTAAATGCATTTGTTAATTTACATTTTGTTTTTTTTTAATATTTTATTTATTTGTTTAGTATGTATACAGTATTCTTTCTTCAGTCCAGGAGAGGGCACCAGGCCTCATTACAGATGGTTGTGAGTCACCATGTGGTTACTGGGAATTGAACTCAGGACCTTATGGAAGAGCAGGCAATGCTCTTAACTACTGAGCCATCTCTCCAGCCACCCTTAATTTACATTTTGAACCCATCCAAGTGTCTTACTTAATTTGGAAAAATTAATGTTGCAGTAACTGTCACATGTTACTGGAATTAGTAAGTATGATTATAAAATTTGAGAGGGGAGCTGGAAAAGACTCAAACATTACAGTACATTGTATGCAAGCATAAGAACCTGAGGTTTTTTTTTCCCCCATCAACCACAAAAAAATTCAGGGCTTGTTGATGTATTTCTACAACACTATTTATGGAAAAGTAGAAACAGGGACATTACCACAGATAGACGTTCAACACTGAACGCTCTTATAAGCATACCCACATATGCACACATATCCATGTGCACACATTCATGATTACATGAAATTGCACACATACACAATAAAGATTGTTAAAGTAAGGATCTTCATATAGTCATTTGTCACTATTTTTAAATATATTGAACTAGAAGCAGGAGCAATGGTCCAGATGTTAAAGGTATTTACTGCTTTTTCTGTGTAACAGATTTAATCTTCGTCATCTACCACCCCATTGAGCCTTCTCAAAAATTGATCACATATTTGGTAACAAAACAAACCTCAACAGATACAAAAAATAATTGGAAAACCCCATGGCTGAAGATCCCCTGAAGGGCATGCTCCTGCTGCAGGGGTTTCTTTGTTTCACACTACCCTGCCCACCCACCAAGATCGCCCTCTTGCCTGTGGGATCCTTGGACTAACAGGAATCCCTGTTTCTGTGCTGAGGAGATCAATCCAGACTGGTGAGTGTGTGCCATCCGGGGGCGGACAGTCCGAGAAGGGAGCACTTGTCCCCTTCAGCACCAGCTGCAGGGGCTTCTTTGTTCCACATGACCCTGCCTCCTGCAAGCCTTCCCTATTGTCTGTGCAATCCTAGGCCCAGGAACAGTTGGGGCTCCTGCACTGAGGAGATCCATCCAGAAAGTCAGTCACTGCATAGATTGGACAAAGATGCCAAGATTCTCCTGGTTGCATTTGAAAGAAGAAATGGGCAGGCGCCAATGCAAGAATTCCTCCAACAACCTGAAAAACATGATAACACCAGAATCCAGCAAACATCAAAACAGGAAGTCTTGGTGAAAAAAAAAAACAAAAAAACAGGAAGTCTTAAACACCCTAATCCAAAAGAAGTGGAAGAAATAGACTTTAAACGTAACATTATGAAAGTAATACACTCCCTTAAACAGGATGTGAAAAACTCCTTTAAAGAAATGGATGAAAAGAATAACAAAAAAGTTTGAAGAAATGAATAAGTCCCTCAAAGATACCTTAGGAAACCAAGAAAAAGCAATCAAATGGGTAATGGAGACAGTTCAAGGCTTGAAAACCGAAATGGAGGTAATGAAGAAAACACAAACCAAGGGACAGCTGAATATGGAAAATCTGGGTAAACGAACACGGACTACAAAGACAAGTATAACCAACAGAATATAAAGGATAGAAGAAAGAATCTCAGATGCTGAAGATACTATAGAGGAAATAAACTCATTGATCAAAGAAAACAGCACATCAAACAAGTTCTTAACACAAAACATCCAGGAAATCTGGGACACCATAAAAAGATCAAACCTAAGAATAATAGGGGTAGAAGAATGAGAAAAATTACAACTCAAAGGCCCAGAAAATGTATCCAACAAAATTATAGAAGAAAACTTTTGCAACCTAAAGATGGATATTCCTATGAAGGTACAAGAAGCATACAAAAAACCAATAGACTGTATCAAAAAAAAATCCCCTTGCCATATAATAATCAAAACACAAAACATACAGAATAAAGAAAAATATTAAAAACCTCAAAGGAAAAATGTAAAGTAACATATAAAGGTAAAAAAAAAAAACAGAATTACACCTGACTTACCAATGGAAACCATGAAATACAGAAGGTCTTAGATAGATGTGCTGCAGAAACTAAGAGAACATGGATGCAAGCCCAGACTACTATACCCAGCCAAGCTTTCTTTTACCAGCAATGGAGAAAGCAAGGTATTCCAGAATAAAAAGAAATTTAAACAATATGTAGACACAAACCCAGCCACACAGAAATTAATAGAAGGAAAATAACAAGACAAGGAACCCAACAACATCCACAATAACTTAGACTGAAGGACCCCAACCCAAATCGCTCAAATTGCTGCCACAGCTAAAAATAATGCCATTTTATGCAAGGCTTGTACTTTTGGGGAATTCAGACAGAGGACAGTCATACATTGCAAAACAGGATTACAGACTGTCTGTAGCAGAAGAGGATATCTGTGGTCAGCCGTGAAGGCAAGGCAAGAACGGGAAGTGCCAGTTATGAAAGGGCCAACTCAGCCCTAACCGGGGGGTCCATGTATCAAGGGGGAATTTCTCCCCAATTTAACCTGGCTAAATTAAGCTGTCCAATGAAATCCCTGTAATCAAGGCATCTGCTTCTGTAACCGCGCTTTTTGCTCTCTGCCCTTATAAAAACCCCTTACCACAGCCTGAGGGCGCCCAAGTCCTCTGAGAGACTCTGCCGCCCCAGGCGCCTGTGTATCTGAAAATAAACCTCTTGCTGTTTTCATCCGCAACGGTGTTCTCGTTGATCCTTGGGAAGGGTCTCTCCAGAAGGAAGACTCTCTTCGGGGGTCTTTCATTTGGTGGCCCATACGGGGATCTGGAGACCCCCACCCAGGGACCACCGACCCACCTTTGGGAGGTAAGCTGGCCAGCCTTTTATTTTTGTCACGTCTGATTGTCTGTTTGTCGACTGTGCTGCGTTCTGTATACCTCAGCTGGGTGTCTTGTATTTGGCGGGATAGAGGAGGAGTTGATGAACTCGGATTTCTCCCCCGCAACCCTGGAAGACGTTCCAAGGGTGTCTGGGGCCCGATATTCCAGGGCCCATCTGCCGGAATCCGTACCCCGGATCGGACTCTTTGGAGCCCCACCTTTGTCTGAGGGGTACGTGATCCTTCTGGGAGGCAAGGGATCCGGACCCTCATCTACGTCTCCATCTGAGTTTTTGCTTTCGGTTTTGCGCCGGAGCCGCGCTGCGAAAATTGTCTGTGTTTGTCTCTGCGTCCTTTTTGTCTGTTTCACGTCTACAGCAATTTCATTGGAAATTATGGGGCAATCCATAACTACCCCCTTGAGTCTCACCTTACAGCACTGGAGAGATGTTCAGGACACGGCTAATAACCAGTCCGTGGAGGTCCATAAAAAGAAATGGATCATTTTCTGTTCCTCTGAATGGCCAACTTTCAACGTCGGCTGGCCACGAGATGGAACTTTTAACCTTGATGTTATTTTACAGGTAAAAGCCAAGGTGATGAACCCAGGCCCACATGGGCACCCCAATCAGGTGGCCTACATTGTGACCTGGGAAGCCTTGGCCTACGACCCACCTCCTTGGGTCAAACCTTTTGTTCTCCCTAAGCCATTCTTGAAAGAACCTTCTGCCCCTACCCTTCCTCCTCCCCTCCTCCCGACCCCGGCTAAACCACATACTCAATCTTCTCTTACCCGGTTCACACCAAGCCTTTGCAGCCTGGAGGGAAAAACAAAGGGACCCCAATGGCAAGGACGGTCCTGCCTCCTGGAGATGAATTATTAATGGACCTATTGGAAGAACAACCCCCGCCATACCAAGGACCCGCTCCACCAGAGGAAGCTGCCCGGACTGCGGCGGCCCCAGACCCCGCACCCCCAGCCACGTCCCCGGACCCCGCACCCCCAGCCACGTCCCCAATGGCTGGACGACTGCGCGGACGCCGGGAACCTCCCCCAGATTCCACCTCACAGGCTTTCCCCCTCTGGATAGGGCCAAATGGCCAACCTCAATACTGGCCATTCTCAGCCTCCGATCTTTATAACTGGAAATATAATAACCCTCCTTTTCCCAAGGACCCCACCATGCTAACCTCTCTTATTGAATCTATTTTGGTCACTCACCAGCCCACCTGGGATGATTGCCAGCAATTATTACAGGCTTTATTAACCAGCGAGGAAAAGCAGCAAGTCTTTTTGGAGGCTCGCAAGAGGGTGCCAGGTGACAATGGCCGTCCCACGCAGCTGCCGAATGAAATCTATGCTGCTTTCCCCTTGGAACGCCCAAATTGGGATTTCACCACACTTGAAGGTAGGAACCACCTACGTCTCTATCTCCAGTTGCTCATAGCGGGTCTCCATGGGGCTGCCAGACGACCCACCAATTTGGCTCAGGTAAAGCAGGTCATTCAGGGTCTTGAGGAGTCCCCCTCCGCCTTCCTAGAGCGACTCAAGGAAGCTTACCGTATATATACTCCCTATGATCCCGAGGATCCTGGATGTAACCTTGCCATGTCTTTTATTTGGCAATCAGCACCAGATATTAGAAAGAAATTAGAAAGGATGGACAACCTCAAGGAAAGTACCTTGCAGGATTTACTTAAGGAAGCAGAGCGGATATTTAACAAGAGGGAGACTCAAGAAGAGAGAGACGAGAGACTTAGAAAGGAAGCAGAGAAAAGAGAAGATATTAGGGACCGTAAGAGGAATAAGGAAATGAGCAAGTTGCTAGCCACCGTAGTCTCAGGACAGCAGCAGGATAGACAGGAGGGAGACAAAAAGGGGCCCAGATTGGACCACGATCAATGCGCATATTGCAAAGAAAAAGGCCATTGGGCCAGAGATTGCCCAAAGCGCCCTAAAGGACCCCGCAAACCCCGGCCTCAGGCCTCCCTCTTGTCCCTGGAAGAAGACTAGGGAAGTCGGGGTCAGGAGCCCCCTCCTGAACCCAGGATAACCCTTGATGTTGGGGGGCATCCAGTCACCTTCCTCGTGGACACCAGCGCTCAACACTCAGTGTTGACCCAGCCTACGGGGCCACTGAGTGACCGGTCAGCTTGGGTCCAGGGAGCCACCGGAGGAAAACGTTACCGATGGACTACAGACCGGAAAGTGCTGCTGGCTACTGGTAAGGTGACTCATTCCTTTTTGCATGTGCCTGATTGCCCCTACCCGCTATTGGGCAGAGATCTTCTCACTAAATTGAGAGCACAAATACATTTTGAGGAAGCAGGGGCTCACGTTACAGGCCCCCAAGGGGAGCCCCTCCATGTTCTAACCCTCAATTTGGAAGATGAATACAAGCTATATGAGCCAGGAGAACATGAGGAACCCCAAAAATTGACCACCACGTTTTGGCTAAAAGAATTTCCCCAGGCTTGGGCCGAAACCGGGGGCATGGGCTTGGCAATTCGGCAACCCCCTTTGATCATCGCTTTAAAGACCACGGCTACTCCCGTGTCAATTAAGCAATATCCCATGTCCCAAGAAGCCTACCAAGGAATTAGGCCACACATTAAGAGACTCCTGGATCAAGGGGTTCTGATTCCTTGCCGGTCACCATGGAACACCCCTCTCCTCCCTGTCAAGAAACCCGGCACGGGCGATTATCGGCCGGTGCAGGACTTGAGAGAGGTCAATAGGCGGGTGGAAGACATTCACCCCACGGTCCCCAACCCCTACAATCTACTGAGTGGACTTCCACCCTCCCATAGCTGGTACACGGTACTGGATCTCAAGGATGCTTTCTTTTGCTTAAGATTACACCCAGGTAGCCAGCCCATCTTTGCCTTCGAATGGAAGGACCCAGAAATGGGGCTTTCTGGGCAATTGACATGGACCAGGCTCCCACAGGGGTTTAAAAACAGCCCCACCCTCTTTGATGAGGCCCTACACAGGGATCTGGCTGACTTCAGAATTCAGCACCCGGACTTGATTCTGCTACAATATGTTGATGACTTATTGTTGGCAGCAAAAACAGAAGCTGAATGCAGGGAGGGGACCTCTGCTTTACTAAGAACCTTAGGAACTCTTGGTTATCGGGCCTCTGCAAAGAAAGCCCAGATTTGTCAACAACAAGTCATATACCTAGGGTATCGACTCCAGGAGGGACAGAGATGGCTGACTGAGGCATGTAAGCAGGCCATCCTGAACATCCCCGTCCCCAAGGGACCCCGTCAGCTGCGGGAATTCCTGGGGATCGCTGGATACTGTCGCCTTTGGATCCCCGGGTTCGCAGAATTAGCAGCCCCCCTTTACCCGCTTACCAAACAAGGGACACTTTTTACCTGGGGGGAGGCCCAACAAGAAGCCTATATGAACATTAAGAAAACTTTGTTGGCCTCACCGGCTTTGGGCCTCCCAGACCTGACCAAACCGTTCGAATTGTTTGTGGATGAGAGTCGGGGCTACGCCAAAGGAGTCCTAGTCCAAAGACTGGGACCCTGGAGACTGCCTATAGCATACCTCTCCAAAAAGTTGGACCCTGTGGCCTCAGGATGGCCCCCTTGTCTCCGCATGGTGGCAGCCATAGCAGTCCTAACGAAGGACGCTGGTAAACTGACCTTGGGACAGCCACTGACTATCCTGGCACCCCATGCAGTAGAGGCTCTGATTAAACAGCCTCCGGACCGCTGGCTGTCCAACGCACGCGTGACCCACTATCAGGCAATGCTCCTAGACACTGACCGAGTGCGGTTCGGCCCAACATTGGCACTCAACCCCGCCACACTGCTTCCACCACCAGAAGGACCAGACCAACACGACTGTCTGCAGATCCTGGCGGAAGCGCATGGAACCAGGCCAGACCTCATGGACCAGCCCCTCTCAGATGCGGACTTCACCTGGTACACAGACGGGAGCAGCTTCATGGAGGATGGAGCCAGAAAGGCGGGGGCGGCGGTGACCACCGAAACCGAGGTAATTTGGGCAGAGGCCCTCCCACCAGGGACCTCAGCTCAAAGGGCTGAACTTATTGCTTTGACCCAGGCACTCAGATGGCGAAAGACAAGAGACTAAATGTCTATACAGACAGCCGATATGCTTTCGCCACTGCCCATATTCATGGGGAAATCTATCGAAGAAGGGGACTGCTCACCTCAGAGGGGAGGGAAATTAAAAACAAAGCTGAGATTTTGGCCTTACTTAAGGCCTTATTTTTGCCCCGAAAACTGAGCATCATTCATTGCCCGGGGCATCAAAAAGGAGATGCCCCAGAGGCAAGGGGAAATAGACTAGCGGATACAGCGGCCCGGGAGGCTGCAAAAGGCCTGACCTCGATGGCCTCCCAAGCCTTTCCCCTCCAACCAGAGGCAGAAGCCTCCCCTGAAACTCCAAGCCATGGCTTGTTCCGATACACTAAGGAGGACACTGATTTACTAAAAACCTTGGGGGCATCCTTTGACTCCACAAAAGGACGCTGGGTCTATGCAGGAAAGCCAGTAATGCCCATCGGACAAACTTTTGAATTAATATCCTACCTGCATAAATTGACCCACCTCAGTCGCCGAAAAATGAAAGCTCTCTTGGATAGGGAAGAAAATATTTACCACCTGCTCGGAAAGGATGCCATCTTACAACAAGTAACCGATTCTTGCAAGGCCTGTGCACAGGTAAATGCCGGAAGGGCAAAGGTTGGAATCGGAGTCCGCATGCGAGGACACCGACCAGGTATTCACTGGGAAATTGACTTTACAGAAATAAAGCCAGGACTATATGGCTATAAATACTTGCTAGTATTCATAGATACCTTTTCCGGATGGGTGGAAGCTTTCCCTACCAAACATGAGACAGCCAAAATAGTCACCAAGAAATTGCTGGAAGAGATCTTCCCCAGATATGGGATGCCCCAAGTCTTGGGGTCAGATAATGGGCCTGCTTTCGTCTCTCAGGTAAGTCAGCTGGTGGCTAAGCTATTGGGGATTAATTGGAAATTACATTGTGCTTACAGACCCCAGAGCTCAGGTCAGGTAGAACGTACAAATAGAACAATAAAGGAGACTTTGTCCAAATTGACGCTCGCAACTGGCTCTAGAGACTGGGTACTCCTACTGCCCCTGGCCTTATACAAGGTCCAGAACACTCCGGGCCCCCATGGATTAACCCCATTTGAAATAATCTATGGGGCACCACCACCAATGATTAATTTCTTTGATGACATCATTGCTGATCATGCTAACAGCCCTTCTCTTGAAGCCCACTTACAGGCACTCCAGCTTGTCCAGAAGGAGGTTTGGAAACCACTGGCCGCTGCCTACCAAGAACAGCTGGACAGACCTGCGATCCCCCACCCGTTCCAGATCGGGGACTCTGTCTGGGTTCGCAGACACCAAACCAAGAACCTCGAGCCCCGCTGGAAGGGACCCTATACCGTACTATTGACCACCCCTACGGCGCTTAAAGTCGACGGGATAGCAGCCTGGATACATGCTTCACATGTGAAAGCCGCCAGCCCGGGACAGCAGACACCAGACCAGGAAAAGAAATGGAAGGTCCAACGTACCCAAAATCCCCTAAAGATAAGACTGGTTTGCAACTAATGTTTAAGATGATCGGGTTTTTCCTATTAATCCTAGGACCTATGGGGACACAGGGAGAGGGCCCCCACACTGTCTACTCATTAACCTGGCGGATCATCTCCCAGACCGGCGAGACGGTCTGGAAAAAAACTGGCCAATATGCCCCCAATACTTGGTGGCCACCCCTGACCCCAGATTTTTGTCAATTAGCAGCCGGTTTAGACACCTGGGATGTCCCCATCAAGGACCCTACCAACTCTGAGGACAACCTGCCACGCGCTAAGCATGCGGCCACAGAGGTCAGCTCATCAGGAGGGCCTATACAAACTTCCCCCGGATGCAGGGACAATTGGGCTAAAGACAGGCTAGCTTCATTGGATTTCTATGTATGTCCAAAGGATGATAGAAGCAGAGACAAAGCATATGCTTGTGGCGGGTATGAACAATATTTTTGTGCTCAATGGACATGCGAAACCACTGGGGATGCCTATTGGAATCCCTCCTCCTCCTGGGACAAAATTATTGTCAAGAGAGGCTGGGTTAAAAATAGGGCAAGAACCACTTCGCTGCCCCTTAACATTACATTTACTGACAAGGGTAAACAAGCCCTGGAATGGCAAAAAGGCTATACCTGGGGGCTCCGCTGGCATATGTCAGGGACAGATAAAGGGGTGATATTCAAAATACAACTTAAGGTAAAGACAGCGGCCATAATACCTATCGGCCCTAATCAAGTTTTGACAAATCAGCGGCTCCCATCTGTACAGGAAAATAAGGAACTGTCAATTGATCACAATGCACCACCTGTTATGCCCAGTCCACCTAGGACTCATGGCTCAACTCCCGTCCCCACAGCTGCCTTAATTCAGGAAGGGACGGGAGACAGCCTATTAAATCTAATGGAGGGAACCTACTTAGCCCTCAATTACACTAATCCTGACAAGACACAAGATTGCTGGCTTTGTTTGGTCTCAGGGCCCCCATATTATGAAGGGATAGCTATCATGGGAAACTATACCAACCACACCAAGGCCCCCTCCCAATGTACCTCTATACCCCGGCATAGACTGACCTTATCAGAAGTTTCAGGGGAAGGATATTGTATAGGGGCTGTTCCCCCCAGCCATCAAAGGTTATGCAGAAAAATAGATAAATTAACCTCCACAGGATTTTATTATTTGGTAGCCCCTACTGGGACATATTGGGCATGTAGCACCGGGCTAACACCATGTATTTCAGCCGCATTACTTGATAAATTTAATGATTACTGTGTTTTGATAGAATTATGGCCTAAGGTAATTTATCATACATCTGAAGACTTTTACAGCCACTACGAAAGGAGGCCCAGATATCGTAGGGAACCGGTGTCCATAACTGTGGCCCTTTTACTAGGAGGAATTACTGTAGGGGGAATGGCTGCTGGAATAGGGACGGGGGCAATAGCTTTAACTGAGACCAGACAATTCAGACAACTACAACTAGCCATGAATACGGACATCCAGGCCTTGGAAGAGTCCATAAGTGCCCTTGAAAAATCCTTAACGTCCCTCTCGGAGGTTGTCTTACAAAACAGAAGGGGGCTGGATATCCTATTCTTAAAAGAAGGAGGGTTATGTGTGGCCCTTAAAGAGGAATGTTGCTTTTATGCAGACCATACTGGATTAGTAAGAGACAGTATGGCCAAGCTAAGAGAAAGACTCAAAAATAGACAGCAAATAGTTGAATCCCAACAGGGATGGTTCGAGGGATGGTACAACAGGTCTCCCTGGTTCACCACCCTGATCTCCACAATTATGGGCCCCATGATTATCATTCTTTTAATTTTCTTGTTTGGCCCTTGCATTTTAAACCGGCTGGTACAGTTTGTAAAAGACAGACTGGCAGTGATGCAGGCATTCATATTGACCCTGCAATATCAGCCAACAGAACCAATATATTCAGACTTCTGATTGCAACCCCTCCAAAGGAATGAAAGATTCCATTCCCCAATTAACAAGAGATATGGGGGAATGAAGGACCCCAACCCAAATCGCTCAAATTGCTGCCGCAGCTAAAAATAATGCCATTTTATGCAAGGCTTGTACTTTTGGGGAATTCAGACAGAGGACAGTCATACATTGCAATACAGGATTACAGACTGTCTGTAGCAGAACAGGATATCTGTGGTCAGCTGTGAAGGCAAGGCAAGAACGGGAAGTGCCAGTTATGAAAGGGCCAACTCAGCCCTAACCGGGGGTCCATGTATCAAGGGGGAATTTCTCCCCAATTTAACCTGGCTAAATTAAGCTGTCCAATGAAATCCCTGTAATCAAGGCATCTGCTTCTGTAACCGCGCTTTTTGCTCTCTGCCCTTATAAAAACCCCTTACCACAGCCTGAGGGCGCGCAAGTCCTCTGAGAGACTCTGCCGCCCCAGGCGCCTGTGTATCTGAAAATAAACCTCTTGCTGTTTTCATCCGCAACGGTGTTCTCGTTGATCCTTGGGAAGGGTCTCTCCAGAAGGAAGACTCTCTTCGGGGGTCTTTCAAGACATCTAATAACCCTCCACAAGTACTTCTCAAAGAAGGAAAATACACAAACCCTACAACCAAAAAATTAAAATAACCAGAGTTAACAACCACAGGTCATTAATATCACTTAATATCAATGGTCTCAATTCACCTATAAAAAGGCACAGGTTAAAAGAAGGGATATGTAAGCAGGATCCAACATTCTGCTGCTCACAAGAAACACACCTCAACCAAAAAGACATATACTCAGAGTAAGAGGTTGGGAAAAGGTTTATCAATCAAATGGACCTAAGAAGCAAGTGGGTTTGGCTATTCTAATATCTAACAAAATTGACTTTAAACTAAAATCAATCAGAAGAGATGGAGATGAACACATTATACTCATAAAAGGAACAATACTTCAGGATGAAGTCTCAATCGTGAATATCTATGCCCCGAATATAAAAGCACCCACATATGTAAAAGAAACATTACAAGATCTCAAAAGTACACATCAAATCACATACACAAATAGTAGGAGACTTCAACACTCCTGTCTCACCAGACAGAAATGTAACAGAAAAATAAGGGAACTAATGGAAGTAATGAATCAAATGGACTTAAAAGATATCTATAGAACATTCCAGCAAAATAGGAAAGAATATACCTTCTTCTCAGAATCTCATGCATCCTTCTGGAAAATTGATCGCATACTTGGTAACAAAGCAAACATCCACAGATATAAAGAAAAAATTTAAGTAACCACCTGTGTCTTCTTGGATCACCATGGAATAAAGTTAGAATTTAACAACAATTCTACCCACATAAAGCCTACAAACTCATGGAAATTGAACAGCCAGCTACTGAACCACCCCTGGGTCAGGGACGAAATCAAGAAAGAAATTAAAGTCTTCCTTGAAATCAACAAAAATAAAGACACAACATACCCAAACCTATGGGACACTATAAAAGCAGTCCTAAGAAGAAAGTTAATGTCTAAGTAGTGACTAAGTGCCCACATTAAAAAAAATGGAGAAAGCTCAGATTAGAGACTTAACAGTACAGTATAAAGCTCTAGAAAAAAAGAAGCAGATTAACCCAGGAGGAGTAATAGACTGGAAACAATCAAATTGAGGGCTGAAATCAACAAAGTTGAAACACAGAAAACAATCCAAAGAATCAATGAAACACAGAGCTGGTTCTTTGAGAAAATCAACAAGATTAACAAGTCCCTATCCAAACTAATCAAAAGGAGGTGAGTGGATGCGCAAATGAACAATATCAGAAGAGAAAAGGGGGACATAACAACAGACACTGAGGAAATTCAGACAATTATTAGGTCTTAATAAAAAGGCCAATGTGCCACAAAATTGAAAAATGTAAAAGAAATGGACTAGTAATTAGATAAATTCCATATACCACAATTAAATCAGGACCAGGTGAACAATTTAAGTAGACCATATCATTTCATTAGATGCTGAAAAGTGATTTGACAACACTCCTTTATAATAAAGGTCTTGGAGAGGTTAGGGATATAAGGATCATATCTAAATATAATAAAAGCAATATACAGCAAACCAACAGCTAATATCAAATTAAATGGAGAGAAACTCAAAGTCAATCCACTAAACTCAGGAACAAGACAAGGCTGTTCTCTCTCACCATATCTCTTCAACATAGTTCTTGAAGTTCTAGCAACAGCAATAAGACAACATAAAGAGATCAAGGTGATTTGAATTAGAAAGGAAGAAGTAAAACTTTCGTTATTTGCAGATGATATGATTGCATACATCAGTGACCCCCAAAACTTTTCCAAAGAACTCCTACAGCTGATAAATCCCTTCAGTTATGTGGCAGGATATAAGATCAACTCAAAAAATCAATAGCTCTTCTATACACAAAGGATAGAGAAGCAGAGAGGGAAATCAGAGAAACTTCACCTTTCATGATAGCCACAAATAACATAAAGTATCTTGGGATTACTCTAACCAAGGAATTGAAAGATCTATTTGACAAGAACTTTCAGGCTTTAAAGAAAAAAAATTGAAGAGGACACCAGAAAATGGAAAGATCTCCCATGCTCTTGAATGGGTAAGGTCAACAGAGTAAAAATGACAGTTCTACCAATCTATAAATTCAACACAATCCCTATCAAAATCCCAACAAAATTCTTCACAGACCTTCACAGAAAAATAATCACTTTTTATGGAAAAACAAAAAACCCAGGATATCCAAAACAAACTATTACAATATAGGAACTACCAATAAAGGTAATTTTCTTTACCATCCCTGACCTCAAACTCTATTACAGAGCTACAGTAATGGAAACAGCTTGGTATTGCCATAAAAAGAGAGACGTTGAAAAATGGAATCATATCGAAGACCAGGATATCAACCCTCAAACCAATGAATACCTGATTTGCGACAAAGAAGCTAAAAGTACACAATGGAAGAAAAAAAGCATCTTCAACAAATGGTGCTGGCATAACTGGATGTCACCCTATAGAAGAATAAAAATAGATCTATATATATCACCATGCGCAAAACTCAAGTCCATATGGATCAAAGTCCTCAATATTAATCCAACCACACTGAATCTGATAGAAGAGAAAGTGAGAAGTAGACTATAGTACATGAGCACAGGAGACCACTTTCTCTGTATAACCCCATTAGCACAGACAACAAGAGCAACAGTGAATAAATGGGATGTCCTAAAACTGAGAAGCATCTGTAAAGCAAAGGACATTGTCATTAAGACAAAAAGGCATCCTACTGAATGGGAGAAGATCTTCACCAACCCCGCATCATACAAAGATCTGATCTCAAAAATATATATAGAACTCAAGAAACTGGACATGAAAATTCTAATTAACCCAATTAAAAAATGGGGTACTGAACTAAAAAGAGAATTTTCATCAGATGAATTTCAAATGGCCAAAAGATACTTAGGGTCGTGTTCAACCTCCATAGCGATCAGGGAAATGCAAATAAAAACAGCTTTGAGATGCCATCTTACACCTCTCAGAATAGCTAAAATCAAAAACACCAATGATAGCCTATGCTGGAGAGGATGTGGAGTAACGGGAATACTCATCCATTGCTGGTGGGAATGCAAACGTGTGCAACCACTTTGGAAATCAATGTGGCGGTTTCTCAAGAAATTGGGAATCAATCTACCTCAGGAGCCAGTAATACCACTCTTGGGAATATACCCAAGAGATGCCCAATCATACTACAAAAGCATTCGTTCAACTATGTTCAAAGCAGCATTATTTGTAAAAACCAGAACCTGGAAACAACCTTGATGCCCCTCTATGGACGAATGGAGAAAGACACAGAGTACTGATCAGTGGTTAAAAAAAAGACATCTTGAATTTTGTATGCTAATGGTTGGAAATAGAAAACATTATCCAGAGTGAGATAACCCAGACCCAAAAAGATGAATATGTTATATACTCACTCATTAGTAGATTCTAGCCATAAACAGAGGACATAAAGCCTATAGTTTGTAACCCTAGAGAAGCCAAATTACAAGGTGAACCCAAAGAAAAACATATATAGATCCTCCTAGAAATTGGAAGCAAACAAGATTGCCGGGCAAAAGTTGGGAGCATGGGGGTGGGGTTAGAGATGGGAGTGGGGGAAGAGGAAAGGGGGAGAGGGAAGGGAAAAGGGAAGGATTGACATGAACGTGGGGGAGTAGGAGGTTGGATATGGAGGAAGGGCGGATATAGGAACAGGG